TGCACAGTACTCCTTGAACCCACCATCAATGAACACACCACCATTATCAGACCTCAAATTTCAATTTTTAGTCTGTCTTTGTCTTAACCATGACCTTCCAAGTCTTGAACACATTAAATACATCTGATTTATGCTCTGGTCATCAATGAATGTGACATTATAACAAAAGCTTTCAAGAGATGCCACTGGAGAAGGTCCCCACACATCTGTGTGTGCAAGATTCAATTTTCTTGCCTTTGGAGCTCTGTCCCTTTTTAAGAAACTGACATTCTTCTACTTCTCCATAATGCAACTCTCACACATGCTGAGATCAACTGACTTCAGTTCTGGTAGCTTGCCTCTGGACTGAAGTTCTTTCATGTCCCTCTGACTCAAGTGACTAAGCCTGTAATGCCACAAATCTATCGTGTTCTTTGCAACTGTAGTAGCAACAGTGCAGAGTAAACCTGTAGTCATATATAGTGTGTCAGATTTCTTACCCTGAGCCAGTACTAATGCTCCTTGGGTGACCTTCCAGGTGTTATCTGAGAACACTACTGAATGACTACCCTCATCGAGCTGCTCAACATAAATGAGGTTTTTAGTAGCTACCGAGTTCGAGATCATCTGGACTGAAATGACCCCATAAAAGTTGACGATGCGAAATAATATCTAGCACATAGACATCCACAACATGATTTTAATTTGATCTTCATATAATACTAACTTGGTTTCAGACAACAAGTTCATCTTATTGTCCTTCTTCACCACTCTCAACCGAATGGATTAATCAAAGACATACCTCAGTTTGTTCCTGTTGAACCTGCTCATAGGTTATCTTTGATGAACCAGGGTAGTTAGTTGAAATGAATGTTGTGGTTTAAAGCAAAGGGGGGGCATGCAAGGTAAAAATAAATAGAAAAACCTTATAGAAAAAGGGAAAATGATATGACATAAACCCTTTTTATATGAAGAGAATATTTGTAGCCATCAAAGGACAAGAAAGAAAAATGCAAGATTCGATTTTCTTGCCTTTCATGCAAGAAGGCAAGGAATCACATTTAATAAAGCATTTAAACCATCACAAAACTGAATCAGACAAAATAAAATTTATTCAAATAAAACACTATAATTTATTACGAACGATTCACAAAAAATCACATACAATGAACTAAGAAAGAAAAAAAAAACAACTCCGCAGGGTTGTGAAATAATCTCGGTCAGGAGGTGACCCGACAAAATAAGCCTTTGTGGCAGAAATTCTTCTTCGACCTCAACATGATTCTGAAACACCAAACATTTATCCCTCATGTCTTCCCGCTCCTTGTGCAATTAGCAACCATCTCCTTCAGGGCAGCAACATCCCTCCATATGTTACATAATCATTCCACTTGATTGACCATTTCCTTAGCAGATACAACAGTGAAAGGATGCAGTCAAATGTTCCCAACCTCATTAAGGAGAGAGTGGCTGGTTAAAACCCTCAAATGCTTACCTATCTCCTCATATAAGGACATTTGGTGCCACACTTAGATTCAGTCGACCAACATTCTCTATGTAATGGTCGAGATTGCAAAATTCACCAATTGTAAACAATTCTAAAAGCAAGAGAAGAGAAGTAAACGAAATGTGTGTTTTATCCCGGGGTGAACAAAATAATTACATCCTAAATGTACCTATTGATTTGAAATAAGCCAAAACCTCCAAAATTATATGGGTTCATTCTCGCCTTCCTGCCTCCCAATGGTTGAGCATGACCTTAGGAGCAGAAACATTCACTTGTAATGCCATCACATTAGCTAGATCTCTTGCAAACGGATACACTTCCCTGATGACCACCCATGTGGTAACCTTTGTGGAAGTCATTCTCAACATCTCTGCCTAGCTAGAGGACAGAGCTTCATCTCCATTTCACTGATATCTTGTGTCTGCTCTCACCAGCCAATCATTTATGCTTAACAAACATACCTAGCAACAGTTCCTTGTTTGGAATATCCTTGTTCAAATGTGTAAGATTTGCCATGAGGATTTAGGCAAACGAGAGGCAACAAAATTTAAGAGGTAATAATGATTTTTCAGTGCAAACAAACTCAAGGGAAGTTCATCACTCTTATAAGAGCTTGGATTTGGAATTCAAGGGAGTGTCCACGTCATAAGTATCATTTAAAATAAATTTCTCAATAATTAAAATTTAATTATCTCTTTCTTATTGCATAATAGTTTATAAGAAATAAGAAAATCGGAGAACTATATATGTATAATCAGAATCAGCTACCAAGATCATCAAAGTACAAAAGTTTGGGCCTTCATGAACTCAACTTAAGCCTATTAGAAAGGCAAGCCCAGAGAAGCTTAACCAAGAACTTACGATGTCAGATGCTCAAACAATGGTTGGCTAAGTGCTCAGGGCTGAATACTCGAGACTGGTACTTAAGGTCGAGTACTCAGGGCCGAAAGAAAGGGTATCAAGTATAGGGAACCCTTGTCATTAGTCACTACTTAGTTGACTATGAAGAGGATATCTTATCAAAAGATTCTAACTTAATGATCATGTGACCAAAAAAGGCATCCACTTATCTCCAGGGACTTAGGCACAAGGAATACCTATATTTATTTTTTAAGAAAATACAACCTTTATAAAAGGGGTATTAAATGTAAAACAAAGGCTCCAACTTTAGAAATGAGAGCACAATTCTGATTATTGAAGTCTTGCTCGTCACTAAGTTAACTCAATATTTCATAGCTCTCTCTCTCTCTCTCTCTCTCTCTCTCTCTCTCTCTCTCTCTCTCTCTCTCTCTCTCTCTCTCTCTCTCTCTCTCTCTCTCTCTCTCTCTCTCTCTCTCTCTCTCTCTCTCTCTCTCTCTCTCTCTCTCTCTCTCTCTCTCTTTCTCTCTATCTCTGTCACTCTTTTCTTAGTACTTTCCCATGCCCTATTTTTTATGTGTGATTCATGGACAAAAAGGGATTCAATAATAAAATTATTAACAAATTATTTTATAAATATAAACAAATAAGCAAGTGAATAAATTTTGAATTACTTTTTTAACCATTTTATATCAAATAAATAAAATAATATATATGCTATAAAATAGCTTGGTTACAATTTAATAATATCCATAGGTACTAACTAGTTCTTTAATTTTTTTTAAATAGATTAAATTTATGTATATATTGATATTAAATAAAAAATAATTATTAAATTTATACTTAATTAAAGTTTAGGTAAAAAAATTATTTAAAAAATATACCATACAAATAAAAATAATTTAATAAGTTATTTATTGAATAATAAATGAAAGTATTCGTGAAATAAAACTGTTCAAATTTAAGTAATTTATTGTTTAAATTTTAAAAAATATTTAAAAGCTACATCCAAACATATATCATATAAAAATGAGATTTACATACCCGACATTCAAAACATAAGTATTTACAAGAAGTTTTCTATTTATGAATTGAGCATCTAAAATCTCCTAATAAACATAAAAAACACGCTACATTCATCTCCGTTGCCTCATCCTCTTTCGAACAAAATTGTTGATTTCATCTGCGTTTGAAACAACTGCGGCGATATAAAATCTCAGTTCAAAAATTACTCTAAAAAATCTGCTGTTTAAAAACTAGTGTTTTAGAAACATTTATTCTATTCGAAAAATATTGTTTAAAATAAGCTGTCTGTGGATAATATCTAAAACACCTCTCTAATCATATTATATAAAATTTTTTATGCGCTTCATGCTCATGTTGTTGGAAAGAGAATTCACCAACTTTTGTATATTTTTACAGAATTATGCAAAATTTTGATTTAATTTTTTCTTGTATATATAGATTTGTATGTATGTAATACATTTTAAAGTTTAGTTGTGAGATATGTAAATAAATCAGAATTCTTTGGCATGCGTGTAATACATGGCTTGTATGTATCCCAAGCCAAACAATCACCAAAGCTCACGAAGCGGTTTGTGGTGCGGGGAACGCGCTCATCCTGGTGCAGCTAAACAATCGACCCAAAATATGCTCCGAAAGGCCAAAACAACAGACCGGATCTTCTTATTGACTCTTCCTCTTTCTCAAGAAACTTATTGTGTGTGAAAGAATGCCCTTGAAGTGTTGTGTATGTTAATCCCCGTGCCGAGTACATCATAGTTCGGATTTGGCTTGGTATTCATGGTCAGTTGGAGCTTGTATCGAGCATTCATATATTGTTCAAGCTTTAGTTATTTATATTTTTTAATGTTTGAACTTGATTTGTATTTGATTTGTTTATGACAAATGAAAGAGCATTTAAACGAGTTAATAATTCAAACAAGTCTCGGGATTTTCATGCAAAAAATTCAATAAAAAATTTTGTAAATTTGATCGCCTCTATTAAGTTATCGGTTATAAATTAAAAACCCTACAGTATCTTAAATATCTTTTTTTTTTTCATTGTGCCCTATCTCTCGCTTAGAAATTGTTTAGTAGAATAGTTTGTGTGTTATTTAAGCATGATCTAATCTATGAGTCTATTTGGGCAGAAGCTTATTAAATAATCTGATAATAAGCTGATTAAAAATAATCTGCTGATAAGCTAGGTGCGGTGACTATTATAATTTTTTATTTTTTTGGAGAAACTAGACCGCTGCCACCGCACCTAGATAGGCGCGGTGTGAAAGCACCGTTTACAATGCCATTTACAACATTTTTGAAAACTCATAAGCTGCCAAAACACAGTTTACCCAAACAGACCAGGTGCATTTTCAAAACGCTGTCGCACCAAATAAATTCTCCAAACAGACCCTAAATCTAGCCAAATACCTAAAAATGATAACTTTAAAACCTATAACAACTTAATATTGAGTATTTATATATCATATATCAAGTTAATATTAAAGTTAATTAAATATTATTTAAATAATATATCATATACGATACAAATTTCGATGGAGCTTCGTATCAATTATTTAACAAGTTAAATATTGAATAACAAATAAATTTGTTCGTAAATATAAATGAATACGGTTGATTTAAACTTCAAAATTTTAAAGATCGTACAAGCCTGGTCTGAGCCTTAATCGAGCCGAGTTCTACTGATTCATCAAAATGCATTGATTCATTCATTCACAGCCCTACACAGCACGTGAATAATTCGTTCGCAGCTCCCTCTAAACCTCGTGTTCTCAGTTTCTTTCAGCACGGAGCCCTTCTTTTTCCTCCGGTGCTTCCTTCTGCTCCGTTCTCGCTGCTTATACCTATAGTGAGAAGACAGGATTTATCCATCCGGTGCGTTGGTTCCTGTCTCCCCTCCCTTTCTCCCGCCAAAATACCCAAAACCCTCCATGCAGAATCAGGCACGAAACCCTCGACGACAACCATTTTCTTGTAGGAGAAGATGGGATTTATCTATTATGCGATCTCCAAATCCACCCAGGAACATCGCTACGAGCTTCAAGTGGCTCCTTCTCTTCCATCAAGTTCACGGCTGCAGGAAAGCTAGGAAACCTTATCAACGTGTAGAACTCCTAGAAAATCTCCATTGCCGCTACTGAGCTGGTGAAGTCCATGGCATCTCGAAGCCAAAGCCAGGGTTGGTCTGGTCAAGATACAGGGGAAGCTATCGGTAAACCGCCCTCATTTTTCTTCAACCCTTTTCGTATGTTCTATGCTTTGTAAATTCCATATATTTGCCGAACCGAGGAATTAAATAAATTTCAAATTTATGAGATGAAATAGGATTTGAAAAAGTTCTAGGATTTATTTTGAAATTTTCAACCGTTGAACAGGATTTGCGGGAAAAACTACATAATTCATGCTGAGATTCCGCTGCTAGAGAGCCGCGAACTCGCAACAAAATAGACTCGAGTATTCTTTGCTCTTCCAAAATGATTTTCTGCTAATTGCTGGAAGCAACAGTTTATGCGCTGCTCCGTTTAACGGTAGTGGCCGGCATGGAGAAGACAGAGAAAAGCATAGAAGCTGCCGGCGGCGATTCACAGGCTTCCCCCTCTGCCCCCTCCATCACTGTCAATGTGAAGTTCCGCGGCGAAAAGATCCCAATCTCCCTTTCTCCTGAATCCACCGTTGGGGATCTAAAGTCCCGCCTCCAGCCTCTTACCTACACCCCTCCTCTCGCTCAGAAGCTTATATATAAAGGTACGCCGCTGAGGGAGAACATATTCCCTTTACAGCCACCTTTAGAGAAATTCTTTCGTTTTTTTCAATCTCTTGGCACAGCCTTTCTTTGTTTTTTCTATTTTGGTTTTTGTTGGGCAAAAGGAGTTAGAGCCAGGCAGCGTTTGGCTGCAGAAGAAGATTTACGTTAAAAGGATTTATTAAATCTGCGAATTTTTGTTAGCTCGAGACGGCAGGCGAGAACGACGACGTAAATCGGCTTAATCCGCCTCCTACTCAGATTTGATAAATTCGGATTTACTCCAGGAAAAACAGACGGAATGGGAGAGATTTGGATTTCACGGAGAGTTGTACTTGATTCTCTTTTTATTTTTTTGAGTTTCGCTGGATTTAGGTGAAATTCAGTTTTAATTCATATTAAAAGTCTGCCACCAAACACCCTCTAAATTTTGCAGACAGTCATTTTGGACAAAATTAAGCGTGGGATTTGATAAATCCACATTTTAATCGGTGAATTTAGTAAATCCGGGACGGACGCCTCGCGTGAAAAAGAAAACGTGAAGTTATCTTTATCAATAGTTTTGGTAGGAGAGGAGGAAGGAGGAGAAAAGTGGGAGCTTCGGGTCTCTATAAGCCATGATCTCGTCATTGATTTCTCAGCTAGCTCCACTTGCGACTGTATCACGAGGGTTCAGTTAGGAAGGCGAGGGGAGTGATGTTGGAGAAGGTTTTATTAATTTAATTTTATTTAAGTTTATTTTATTAATATTGATAATTAATAATTATAAATTTATTAAAATATTACCATATTAATTATAAATTAATAAATTTATAATTGTTTTTAATTATTAATTATTAAAAAATAGATATTAGTTTTTCTTCATTAAATAAAATTATAAGTAATTATTAATTGATATGAATAATAACTAATTAATTTTTCTTTTATAAATGTTAAGCTTCTTTTTAACAATTTATTTAATAAAAAATATTAAAAATTGTTTAATTTAGTAAATATATAATTAATAATTGTCATAATTTAAAATAAAATATTAATTGAATTTAAGAAACTAATAAATTTTGATAATTTTGGATTGTTTTAAGAAATTGAATTTTCAATATTTATTAAATCCTATTGTGATTTATTGTTATATTATAACAACCATAACAAATTTCTAAATCTTTATAGAAATTGCCAAACATTGTTATAGGATTTAACAAAATTTATTAAATCAGTTGCCAAATAATTTTTAGGATTTAACTCTTTCGGGATTTATTAAATCCGGATTTTCAGGATTTGCTAAATCCTAATTAAGTTAAATCTCATCCCACACAACCCCTTAATGATAAGTGATGCTCTGGCTATGGTATGAGTGACCTTGTAGGAAGGAAAGATTTTTGTTTGCATGCCCCAATTTCATATTAATTAAAGTGTAATCTTTTGATAGTCTTCTATAACTTATATTTTTGAAACAAAGAGAATAGTGATTCTTAGTTGGTCATCAAGCCTCTGTGATACCAACCACTTTAGGGGCTGTGTGGTACTTGTGTGGTATTGGATTTAAGGAAGGATTTAAGTGAAGTTTAACTTAAATCTTTTAAGACAGTTGATCATTTTGGATATTTTAAATCTTTGAATTTACTAAATTCATTTTTTGTCCATTTTTGGCTAAAAACCAAATTTAGCAAATCCAATAATTTGGTGTTTTTTAGTAAATCTAGAAATGCTTGAGGCAGAAGAGGAGACAAGGAGGAAGCTGAAGACTTAGAGGAAGGGTGAGAAAAACACAATTATCTTCCTCAATGGTTTCAGGTAAGAACAGAGTAGAAGAATTAGAGAAACAGAAGTTTCAGTGGTATTTGTACACTGAAATCTCATCATTGCCTTCTCAGCTAGCTCTAAACGCAACAGTATTGTACGAAGGGAGGGTTTTGTCATAAAGGAGATGATTTGAACGAAATTAGGAGAGGGAGGAGTGAGGTAGATGAGGGTTCTGGAAAGGAGCGAGGTTTTAATGTAGTTCGTCCTTAACACGTTCATTTAATAATTTATGAAAATAGCATTTTCATTTTTTCTCAATTATTTTCACCATTAATCAATATTTTGTTATCCTCACCTCTAAGGTATCTGACATGATTAAAATCCCTAGATCAATCTCTTTCCTGAGCTATTTATATATTCTCATTTTTTCCTTTTTTTATTTGCATGTATATTTTATATATCATTGTGTAAATGTTAGGGCTTTAGGCAGTTGACAACCATCATAAAACTTTTGTCGAGAAAATCATGACATGAATCCTTTTAGTATATGTGTAAATGTCTGGACGTCCCTTGAAAGCAACACATTGTATGACATGAAACACTGAAAAAAGTGCAATGACTACACCGACACTCGGGTGTGGTGTTAAATAAGGTTTCTACATTATGAACAGATGTGGGCAAAAATGTTAGTTCATGAAACTAATATTAGAATAATATTTTGAAATATAGGTACTCCACAAGCAAATTAATGAGATTATTAGATAGTATGGTTTATAGGAAGTTAAATATCTTATGCATTCAAGAAATTAAATGGGCTAGAGAAAAAAACTTATGAGATTGATAACTTAGATTTTAAACTTTAGTATTGAAGTAAGAGTCACACTAGAAAAGGTGATGTAATTAGAGGTAAATGTTTGAAAGATAATGTTGTAAAAATTAATAGAATTATAACTCTAATGTTTGTTGTTGATATTAAGATTTTTAATGTTATAAGTGCTTATGCTCCTTAAATAAGTTTAGATATATGTTCAAAAGAAAATTTTTTGAATGATCTAGAAGAATTAATACAAAGTATACCTCTTAAAGAAAGAAGTTTTATTGATTTAAATGGACATGTTGGTAGAGTTGTAGAAGATTATAGAAATATTCTTGGTGACTACAATTTTAGAGTGATTAATGATGAAGGTAGAACTATATTAAGTTTTGCTTTAACTTATAATTTTTTCATTATTAATACTTTATTTAATAAAAGAGATGAACATATTTTTTTTATAAGAATGAATCTATTAAAACATAAGTTGATTATTTTCTTATAAAAAAATGAGATCGTTGAGAATGTAAAGATTGTAAGCGCATTCCAAGTGAAAGTTTATGTACTCAACACAATTATTAGCCTTGAATTTTAAGATGAAGTATTAAAAAATAAAAAAGAGAATGAAATATTATCATCGAATTAGACAGGGGCACCTAAAAGACAATCAAATTATTTTTATGAATAAAATTTAAGATTTTAAAATTTGGGATGAAACTAATTTTATGTGTGATAAAGTAACAAATACGATTAAACAAGTCACCAAAAATATGCTTAGAGAATCAAAAGAAAAAAAAATATAAATAAAAATAGTTGATGATAAAATAATAATATGCAAAAAAATATAAAATATAAAAAAATTTGTTATAAAATTTGGTTTGAATGTGAAAGTTTAGAGAATTGGGAAACATATAAGGTGACTAGTAGGGATTCTAAGAGATTAATTTGTGATGTTAAGAATTTTAATTTTAGTAATCTTTAAAATAAATTAGATACTAAAGAGTATGAAAAAAGATAAAGTAAAGTAAAATTTTAATTCAAATAAAGTGTAGTAAAGATAAAAATCAAATAATACTTTTCTTAGATGAAAATATTCAACGTAGGCAGGCGAGACATGTTAATAATATTTTCGATGAAGTTTTCAAAATACGATTAACCTGAGTGATCTTAATATCGTTAATAATAATAAAACCTTTTATTTTTATCGTCTTATTAGCAAAATGAAGTTGAGGAGGCTTAAAAAAAACAAGGGTAGAAAATCATTAGGACCTGATGGTATCCCAATAGAAATGTGAAAATATTTAGGAGATTTGGGAGTTTTTAATACTATTTTAAAAATTAAAAAAATGTTTGAGCAATGTAGAAAGAGTGTTTTGGTCCTCATTTTTAAGAGTAAAGTGGATGCACAAGAGTGTACAAATTGTAGAGGAATTAAGTTAATGCATCATATATTGACATTATAAGAGAGAGTAGTTGAACATAGGATAAGACATGATATAAATATTTCTCCTAATCAGTGTTGATTTATGTCGGCAAGTCTTTTATGAAAGCTATACATTTATTGAGAGATTCGATGGAGAAGTACAGAGAGAGTAAGGAGGATCTCCATATGACAATTATTATTTAGAAAAAACTTATGACAAGGTTTCAAGAGAGGTTCTTTGGAGAGTTCTAGAAAAGAAATGTGTTGATTGGACTTATATTCAAGTCATTAAAGATATGTATACTAACACTATTTCTTGTGTTCAAACAGGAGGATTGACCAAGTATTTTCATATTTTGCTTGGATTATATTAGGGATCGACCTTTAAGTCCATATCTTTTGACTTTAAGATCACATCTTTTTGCTTTAGTATGGATGCTCTTATTGGAAAATCACTCATAATATCATTCTTATTGATGAGAATAGAAAAAATTAGGAAAAACTTGAATTTTGGAGGTTTACATTAGAGTCTATATGCCTTTATTTGAGTTGAACTAAAGCTGAATACTTGAACTTTTTTTCGAGCACGAGTCTTTTAGGCCTACATTAGATGTTTTAGATTTGACTTACACAAAGAAATGTAGAGATAGACCTAAAAAGACTTGGGTATGTTGTATAAAAACCGATCTTAATTTATTAGAATTAAAGGAAATTATGGCACTTTATAAGAAAATGGAGCAAACCATTCATGTGGTTGACCACACTTAGTGTGATAAAGGCTTATTGGTGTTATATGTAAATCTGCATTTTTTTCCTTGCTTTCTACACTCTTTACAGGACTTCTAACTTTCTTACAATCATTACAACACTTAATAATATTTAAAATTTTCCACCTTTAAAAAATACATTGTTTTCCTTATTCCACCTCAATCTATCAAGCCTCTTTATCATTGTACGATCTATTTCTAAACTATACCAACTCTTATGTGATAATCTTCTTAGTGGGCATCTTTTCTCATATCATGTTCAACTCAATTAAGTAATTCTAATTTGTCTCTTCCAAGAACTTTAATAATATTTAAAATTTACCCCCCATAAAAATATATTATTTTTCTTATTCTAGCTTAGTCCATCAGATTTCTTTATTATTGTATGACTTATTTCAAGGCCATTCCAACTCTTATTTGATGATCTTCTTAGTGTGCGTCTTATCTCATGTCTTGTTTGGCTCAACTAGGTAATTCTAATTTGCTTCTTCTAATAGCCTAATTTTGAAGGTATATATATATATATATATAGATCTCCTGATTTTGATACCAATCATAAACCTCTTACTGTACCGGTATGGTAAACCAATGAAGTTACTCAAGTGATCTCCTGATTTTGATACCAATCATAAACCTCTTACTGTACCGGTATGGTTCAGTTTATCTGGTCACAAGCTACACTTTTTTCATCATCAGGTTCTTTACTCTATTGGTGCCATACTTGGAAACACTATAAAGCTAGATCTACCTAGTTTCAACCTTACCAGATCTTCTGTGGCTAAAATACCCGTGGAAAGAGATTTTACTTTGTCTGATGTTACTGAAGTTTGGTTGGGTACAACATATAATAGATATTGACAACAAATTGTCATGGAGCATAGACCTCTTTATTGTTCTTATTTGTAAGATGTTTGGGCATACCCTTGTTAAATGACATAAGCTCCATCCTTATTTGAAATCTAAAGATCAAGTGAATAATGATGGATCTAAGGATATATCTGTTCTACTGGAGAGAAAACTACCACATGACAAGATTTGATATCTGATTCAACTTCCCCTGTGGACCCTTTCCCTGAAAATATTGTTTTCGCGATCGATGAGAAGCTAGCTGACCCTGCTGAGCAACATACACTTTCAAAACCTATTGGACCCCTACCTACACGGACTAATAATCAAGAGAACCTTGCAACTACCCATCTTCAGGAAATATCAGGGGTAGAGGTGACAACTCTTACCTCACCTACACTTCTTAGCCCAACTGTTGGCAATCTTTCTACCGCAACACTACCACCTCATCCGAATGAGCAAAAATCTTCGGATGAGGAATGACAGGTCTACACTTCCAGGAGGAAGAAGAAGAATTGAGATCTACTTGAGATAAAGAATCTAATGGAAGATACTTTGGTTACTTCGGGCAATGGTACACACTCACCAATCTGCTAGCTGGTTATTTTTCGAGAACTAGAGGCAGAGGCAGTACTAAAGTGGGTCGACCTGGTTGATCTTTTATGTACCATCTACTTTTGGGTTTTTAATTTTCTTCTTTTCTTTTTGTGTGTGTTGTACCGTATGAGTTGGGTGCTTATTTTGGGTCCACTCATACAACCTATCTGTACCCCTTTCTCTTTAATATATATATATATATATATATTATATATATATATATATATTTCAAATTTGATCACTCCATTCTATGACAATTATTTCTTTACAACTTTTAATATAGATTTATAATAACTACTTTATGCTGTATGGTCAAAATTTTCTCTTAGAATCACTTTACAATATTGCAAGAAGATTTCTATTTCCTTATAAGTAAGAAAAAAAAAACTATTTGTGATTTAGATCCTTTGCTTATATAAGTAAATGATTTTCTTGTTTCTTAAGCTATGTATTCAATATTGTGAAATCAAGTATAACTTCTCTAATTACATTTCTATCTCGTTTATATAACCATCATTAATCCTCTCTAAACTTGTCTTATTATTTTGTTCATTTAAATTATATCCAATAAATATCCTTTCTTTCTTAGGTACACACTATAGTTGTTGAACAATATTTTGCCAAAATTGATTTTTAAATTATCTTTTACTCCAAATTGAGGGGAATAATCACAAACAATGCCTATAATATATTCACTAATAATTATCTTAAAAATAATCACATCACTAATCTTATCCACATCAATAGTTTTATCATTCAAATCTTTATTAGATAATATTTTAACTCCATTCTTATTGTTGATCTTTCTAATGCATAATAACTTCAAACTTCCACAACATCCTTGAAAATTTTTTCCTTTAATTTCTTGTGGACAAGCAGCATTTATTTATTTTTTTAAAGCTTCATTCTTAATAATCTCATGTAGCTCCAGTGACAATCAAAATTAGAGTGAGTCGTGTTAGATGGCTTGGTCACATTAAACGTTTACCATCTAATGATCTGATTAAGAGTAGTTGTTTTAGATTCGACTTATGTTAAGAAAGACAAAGGTAGAGCTCGGAATACTTCGGTATATTGTATAAAAAATGATCTTAGTTTATTATAATTTAATGAAAATATGACACTAAATAAGATGCAATGGAGAATGATTCATGTAGCCGACCCCACTTAGTGGGATAAAGGTTTTGTTATTGTTGTATTCTTAATAATCTCATGTCTTTCCATTTGAAGTCCTTGTAATGAATTTAATAAGACAATACTTTTTACATTCATATGTTAAGTTGCTACTTAAAAGATATTATTGTTGTCCACCTTTCTCTACTTTCAATATACTATGGTTAATTTAAGGGTTAAGTCATGATGAGTCAATTAAGGGTGATGTTGTAACAATCAATCTCTACTGCACTGAGTTTAACCTTGTGGAACGATTCAAATATAAAATTGAAGAATAAAGCCAAATGTGAGTGAGTATTTAAAGACCACTAAATTTAAATATTTAATTATTTTTTAAATGATCAAAAGATTTATGATCGATCCCACTTAGTGGGATAAAGGTTTTTTGTTGTTATTATTGTTGATCACAATAATTATGATTCATATATGATTTACTCATTCAACACCACCGTCGGTGCTAGTTTTTTCTTACTTTATTTAGTTGTACTGTTAATAACTAGCGGAATTTAATTGCATCTAATTGCATTATTTCGTTAACTTTGTTGAGATATTTATGGAGTTTATTTACATGACAAAAAAATGAAGAGGTATTTGTTCAGCCTATTATTTAGATTTTGGGCTTTGTTCAAGTCTACAGTTTTATAATACTTTTACAATGAAGTTAATGAGAAATTATTTACAACTAAAAGCTTATACAATGTTGAATAATATTTTATTGGACACAACAAATATGTTCAGTGTAAAAGTAGAGATTTTGATTGAATCATGTAATTGAGTTTTCACATTGTGGAATTATAATTTTAAGATATTTATTTTGTCCATGTCTATCAAGTTAAAATCATATGATAATATTATAATAAAAGTCATGGATTAAGAAGGCATTCAAGGAACATGGGGTGAGGCACACCTTACAATGAGGCACCCAAAAATCAGCTTTGGCTTACATTGTAATGATTTGAGTAAGATTTACGTGTTTTTGATGTGTACGTTTTTTGCCTTGAGGTGGATGCCTCAAATTATCATATAATCAAAATTTAAAAAATTCCTTTGTTTTATGAAATTATGATATACCTCATATAGTATTTTCCAATTTAAATTTATTATGTATGCCAGATATGCATTTTTGCAATTTGATTTTTTTCAGTTTTCATTTGATTTTTTTTTACTTTTTATTTATTTTGACTGTATTACTAGTTAGATTTTTATTTGGTCTTACAACAGCAACAACAACAAAGCCTTAATCCTACTACTTGGGGTCGGCTACATGAATCCTTTTTCTCCATTGCGTCCTTTTGAGTGTCATAGTTTCATTTAGTTCTAAAAAATTAAGATCATTTTTTATACAATAAGCCCAAGCCTTCCTAGGTCTACCTTTGCCTTTCTTAACCCTTTCTTAAAAGTAGAACCTAAAACATCTACTCTCCTAATCGGATCATCAAATGGTCGACGCTTAATGTGACCAAACCATCTAAGACGACTTTCTCTAATTTTGTCCGTCACAAGAGCTACACCAACCCTATCACAGATATATTCATTTCACATTTTGTCTCTTAAGTGTAAAGCCACTCATCCACCTAATGATTCTCATCTCGACAACACTTAACTTAGCATTATGCTAAATATACATTTTTTTCATTCTTTTTAAATGGTTTTTTAATTACTTTAAATTGATTTTCTTTCCTTTCTAGCTCTATGTTTGTTATCTTTTAAAAGCATCTATTTTAATTTTTTCTATTGATTGATTTTTGCCTTTCTAATTAACTTTTTGTATTGTTATTTTCAAATTTATTATAATGGCCAGCGGTTTTGGATAAAGAGATCCAACTTGAAATATGATGCTCAAGTTGAATTAGCTAAAGAAGGTGCAAAAAACATTTATGCTTATTTAAAGTATAAAATTTATGTAAGAGAATTATTGATGGTGTTAAAAGACTGAAAGTGCATTTGGCTTGCACACACCTCAATGCTAAAACATATGAGAAAAGACTAAATCATCATATTTATAAATTATTTTAATCTTATATATAGAAGGGGAAATTCTTAACATACTGCTTCTTGCATAAATTTCAAACAGATTTCTTATCTCTCTTTTACCTTCTAATTGTGAATTCAAGATTAGATATAAATTGTTCTTGTGATCTGGATTCTATTATGTTTTCAAAAATTGGTTGGTCAGATATACAAATTATTTTTTCAATCAAGTTTTGCGTCTTGCTGTGATTTGTCCAATATGCTTTTGATGTTACTTAATACAACTAATATCAATGATAGCTTATATTATAAGTTTTGCATTATAATGAAACTAAGGATGCGATTATCATTCTAGACAAAAAAATATTTATACTTTTCACTCTTTGTTACAGGTAAAGTTCTCATAGATTCTGAGAGTTTGCAGTCATTGCAGATAACTAGCAGCTCCAAAATTATGATGACACCTTCTTATAGTCAGCTCAAAGCGGTAATTTAAGTTTAATTTTCCATTGCATGCACTGATTCATATGAAAAACTAAAAATAACCTAGAAATGCATTTGTTTAACCTAGAAATACATTTGTTTAAATGATATTTTTCACTTTATGTAGCACATCATAAAGTAGTTTTTTTCTTTTTTGGGACCTTCCTGTTAAGATCTAATCATTAATAGTAAATGATCTTGTTGATCAAGAGAATTAAAAAATTAAGACCATTGGGTTATTCTTAAAACTTGTTAAAGGTAGAGTACATTTCAAGTGATGAAAATTTAATTGTCATTTGAGATTTTGTTACAGTACTGTTTGATATGTTAGATGTTGTTTATGATCACTTTTATTTTTTGTTTTCCATTTTTATTTTAATTTTGTTTTATTTATGTTTTGATATGAAATAAAATATGTTTTTGCATGTTTGATTAAGATATGTTGTTTTTTAAAATACTCAAAACTTCTAAAAGTTGTTCTGAGTATTTAAAAAAACATGTTAATTTGATTTTAGAAATAAAAAATTATTACATATAATAAAAACTCTAAACAAACATGTTTTTAAAATTAAAAGAAAATAGAAAAAATACAAAAAATAAAATTGATCCCAAATAAGGCTTAAGTACCAATTGCATGTCAGTTGATCTGATAGTTAAAAGGCTCTTTAGTCTATTTAGTCAAATTCCTTGTCATGAAGTTTTCTTCTTTAGACTCATGGCTCGTTGACATGGGACACTGCTTTTCCCGCAAGAGAAGCTCCTGTGGTCAGGGAAATAGGCCGAATATTTATTAGTGTGTTGTTTGGTTGTTTTAGTGTTAGATCTTAGTATTTTGAGATATTATATTCTCTGAATTATGAACTAAGGAATGATGCTTCATATTCTTTTACAATTGGTGTGTCTGTATTTTGCTTAGAAATAGATGATAAAATCTCCTCGCCGCTTGTATCTTGTAGTTTTGCTGTCATTGTAGATAACTAGCAACTCCAAAATTATGATGACACCTTCTTATAGTCAACTCAAAGCGGTAATTTAAGTTTAATTTTCCTTTGCATGCACTGATTCATATGAAAAACTAAAAATAACCTAGAAATACATTTGTTTAAATGATATTTTTCACTTTATGTAGCACATCATAAAGTAGTTTTTTTCTTTTTTGGGACCTTCCTGTTAAGATCTAATCATTAATAGTAAATGATCTTGTTGATCAAGAGAATTAAAAAATTAAGACCATTGGGTTATTCTTAAAACTTGTTAAAGGTAGAGTACATTTCAAGTGATGAAAATTTAATTGTCATTTGAGATTTTGTTACAGTACTGTTTGATATGTTAGATGTTGTTTATGATCACTTTTATTTTTTGTTTTCCATTTTTATTTTATTAATGTTTTGATATGAAATAAAACATGTTTTTGCATGTTTGATTAAGATATGTTGTTTTTTAAAATACTGAAAATTTCTAAAAGTTGTTCTGAGTATTTTAAAAAAATATGTTAATTTGATTTTAGAAATAAAAAATAATTACATATAATAAAAAATCTAAACAAACATGTTTTTAAAATTAAAAGAAAATACAAAAAATACAAAAAAAAAAAATTGATCCCAAATAAGGCTCAAGTACCAATTGCATGTCAGGTGATCTGATAGTTAAAAGGCTCTTCAGTCTATTTAGTCAACTTCATTGTCATGAAGTTTTCTTCTTTAGACTCATGGCTCGTTGACATGGGACACTGATTTTCCCGCAAGAGAAGCTCCCGTGATCAGGTAACTAGGCCGAATATTTATTACTATGTTGTTTGGTTGTTTTAGTGTTTGATCTTAGTTTTTTGAGATATTATATTCTCTGAATTATGAACTAAGGAATGATGTTTCATATTCTTTTACAATTGGTATGTCTGTATTTTACTTAGGAATAGATGGTAAAATCTCCTTGCCGCTTGTATCTCGTAGTTTTGCTGTTCGACCTGCATTTTCAGTTGGGACAACTGTCGAATAGCGCCTATCCCCATCCAAACACCGTCAACCTCTCATATTCTCATTCCCTCGCTATTCCACAACCACCTCCCCTCTAAATTCATGCTCAAAATACCTTATAAAAGCCCTAAATTGGTATAATCTGGTATCAGAGTCCGACAAATCCTAATTTTTTGGGCATTTACATTTTTTTCCCCAAATCCAAATATCCAAAAAAAATATTTTCCACCATTTCTACCACAATTCCCAACCATAACCCTAAATTTTCAAAATCTAACATTCGTACGTCCACAAAAAATTCATTTCGACACCAAACACCAAAACCCCAAACCTCGATCAGCCTTGATTTCCAATCCTACATCAGTCGGTAACCTATTCAAGAGGAAAATACATCATGTTGCCAAGACGAAATCAACAAATAGGTGTCTAGGAGTTTATTTTGGAGGATATGCAACGAGACATTCTCTAACTGCAACAGAGACTTGTCAACTTTAAGAGGAGGCAATTTGGTGAAGTCACCCATAGCGACAATGGCGACTCGTCGATCAAGAAGAAGTGAATTTCTTATAAAAGGTAGTTTTCAGTAACAAACAACCACTATCTCGACGATTTTGCATGTAGTATCAAATAAGCCATGATCTTGGAGTTAAGTTGGATTTATTGGTTTTTGACGAGCGCATGGATCTAGATGGGTTTATTGAGTGACTTCAAACAGGGAAGGGATTTTCTTAGTACAAGAATGTTCCTCGAGACAGGAGAGTTAAATTGGCAACTATTAGACTCAGAAAAAATATTTCATTGTGGTGAGAGAACTTGAAGCGTATTAGACAAAGATAAGGGAAGAGTAAGTTCATCATATGGTCTAAGATGAAAAGGGAGATGTTGTGCATTTACCTTTCCCCACACTGTTGACATGGTATGTTCATAAAAATTCATAACTTGTTGCGAAGATATTTTTCTTTGGAGGAACACGACAAAATTTGATCAACTCATGTTCAAATGCAATTTGGTGGAACTAGATGAACATACAGTGGAAAGATATCTTGGAGGGCTAATGTCATTTATAAAGAATGTGTTGCAGCTGCAGCCGTGTTGGTGCCATCTCGATGTCCAGACCCTAGCTTTAAAGGTAAAGATATAATGTCACCAAGTGACCGACACACCTTACTCGCATGGTTTAACCCCAACGTCAGGCAACAAAAATACACTCAAGGAGAAGTCAATCCGGAGTGGAGAAAAGATGGAGCCCACCAACACTCTCAAATCTATCCAAACCAAGCAGTGCCTCAAGTGTCACTGGTTTTGGGCACATTACATCAAATTGCTAAAATAGGATAATGATATATTTCACCGAGTAGGATGTCTTGTAGGAGGCAGAGGATGAAGACCCAAAGGAGAAGATTGGAGAGGAGCGCCAACTTGACGAGGGAGAGATGCTAATAATTCAAGTTGAGTCCAAGAGAGAGACTCTTTTCGGATTATCATTAGTTGTCTTAGAAAGAAGTGAGTCTGAGATAACAAACGTTCATACAAAGTTTGAGGATGTGGTGCTACGAATTATCTTTTTGCAGGCATTAAGTGGAGCATCAACAAAACTAATATTGGTTGTCCAAAAGAGTCATGAGTTTGAGAAGCTGATACCAGCACAGGGTAGCCTAAAATAAAAAAAAAATTAAGATTTTGAGACATACAATCAATTTTTTGAGTTGCCATTACTGAGGGATGTCCAATATATTTTTAGAAGGCTATATGGAATAATTTAGGTATTTCAACAGTGTCGTCCTAGACCTTGGCCAGCTAAGAATGATGACCCCCTACTTTGTAAACCCCATTAGGTGTCTAGTGGGATAGGTCAACTAATAGTGGGGTCTAAGTCCTTGTAGAGAAGTAGAAGAAGAATTTCTTCTATCTAGGGAGAATGACGTAGAACACTTCTTTTCCAGCATGCAAAACTCTTGCGATCTTTATCACGATTCCCTTGTCGCGGATCCGCAATCGCAGGAAAACAAGTTTATTCTATTTTTATTTTTTTCTATTTTTCAGTAAGTTTCCTTATATCCTTATTTCCTTTCTAGTTTCTTATTATTTCTCCATTTTAATTTAGGTTATTTCTAGGAGTTTATTTATATATTGTTTAGTTGTTTTGTGTTTTTAGTTTTGGCTTTTGAGGTTTTGAGAGATTGTATTATATGAATTATGAACTAATGAGTTTTGTATCTTTTCTTTTGCAAGTTGTGTGCCTATATGATGCGAGAGCATATTGCAAAACCACTGTAGGGGCACTCATGATTCCGCTGTGGGATAGGCGTGATCTTGTATTAGGATTTTTTGTGATTGAGGGATTGACAGCTGCCCAAGACTTTCATATTTTAGCTTTCGTTCTTTCCTTTTGATTATTTCATATTTCTTTATTTCCTATTTTTCTTATATCTATGTAGAGTTTTGCTGAAGAGGCTATTTATGTGTTGCAATTTTCTAGGTTGGGGGACTTTTGAGTTGTTTTGTGAGTTTGGAGATTAGAATATCTGGTTTATACCTATAGTGTGTTGTATCCTATTCCTGTTGCAAGTGGTTTGCCAGTATCTTGGCTAGGAACAAGTGGTGGAAGCTCTTCGTCGTCCTAACATCGTCGATCAGGAGTTTTTTTTGTCATTTTCAGTTGTGACAACTGCCAATCGACGTCTATCTCCTGCCAAACACCATCAACATCACCTAGTTTTCATCCCCTACTATTCCACTATTACCTCCACTCAAATCCCACTTCCTGAATACCATCTAGGAGCCTTATATCGATATCATTTGGTATCAGATCCAGACAAGCCCCAAATTTTTAGGAATATACCCATAAATATAAAATTTCAAAAGATTCTCTGCCCTAACCATCCTTATCGTAATTCCTAATCATAACTCAAAATTTTTAAAATCCAACATTCCTGCCTCCACAAAAGTCCACCCAAATCCCTTCGACCATAACCCTAAATTTCGATCAACATTTTATCTACAACCCTACAACTTTTGGAAACCTTGATCG